AATGAAGTTACAGGTCAGTGTTCCTTGATCAGCTATGATGCTGAGGACACCCCGCTGTCCTTCCCCTCAGGGTCAGAGGGAACATGTTCTGAGGCTTCAAACCTTGTCAGAGACGTTGGGTTTCATGCAGGCCAGCTGGGAAGCTTCGGCAGAGAAGGAAGGCATTTGCACAGGCAGTTTTTAAACACAGGGAACATGGAGGAAATACCACACAATTTATAGATGAAAGCTTTAAAAAGAAACACAAGACTTAAGTCAAAACAGTTGACTCAACTCTGGGGGAGGTGTCTGCCTAGATCTAGGAGACAAAAAAGCTAGAACTGGAGTGGGTTGAGACAGAGGGGTGTCCCACTGAGTGGGGTAAACGGACACATTGATACACAGCTGGGGGCAGGTAGCCAACTGCCTCTCTAGAGGGTATCACCTACTAGCATTTTTGAAATTCTACTTCTGAGACTGTCACTTGGGTTATCCTCACAGTAATATGTATAAGGATGTTCACCAAAGATTCATTTGTAGTTGGGAAAACTTGAAAACAGCTTGAATGCCATTTAACAGAGGAGGGACCTGTATGAATTACAACACAGCCAACCAGGGGAATTCCAAGAAGCAAATGATGCATGTGTCTGTTGTTGTTTAGTTGTTGTGTCTGATTCTTTTTGAGACCCCTCCGCCATTTCCTCCTCCAGGGCATCTTCCCAACCCAGGGATTGAACTCGAGTCTCCTGCACTGAAGGCAGATTCCTTACCGCTGAGCCACCAGGGAAGCCCCATATGTCTGAGTATGAACATGGAAAGATATTCATCATAAGGTGAACGAGAAAGGCCAGTTGCACATGGCATGGATATGATGATCTTGTTTTCATAAAAACTAAAAATATACCAGTGTTTGCATATGTGTAGAAAAAGATAGTGGGGGACATAGACAAATTGGTTAACAGAGTTTATCTCTGGGAGTTGGGATTATAGACTATTTTTTATACAGTTCTGTAGAATTGGTTGCTCGTTTTCTATTTTGGCTGCATTGGGTCTTTATTGCAGTGCTCAGGCTTAGTAGCCCTGAGGCCTCTGTGATCTTAGTTCCCTGACCAAGGATCAAACCTGAGTCTCCAGCCTTGGAAAGCAGGTTGTCAATCAGTGGACCACCAGGTAAGTCCTAAGTTGGTTGTTTTTAATAGATATATATTGAAAAGAAAATATCTTGAGAATCAATTCAGTTCAGTCATTCAGTCATATCTGACTCTTTGTGAGAATAAAAAATCTAGAGAATAAAGGCCTAATATTTAACGATGGTATATATTATGGCAACAGTTTCCTCCTCATTCTGGAAAAATCTCAACCAGCATGTCCCTGTATTGCATCACAGATACCCAAACTATAATACATCCTTAATCATGTTACTCTACTGATGCAAAGCCTAAAACCTATCGTGTTTGACTCTTCTGTTCCATCCGGATTAATTACTGTCCACAATTCACTGAGTATTATCTCTGTTCTGAGGCGAGCATAGAAAGGGGGTGATGATCTCTCTACAGCATTTACAGCTTCCACAAATCACAAATCATACACAAAGGACTCCAGAAATACTAGTTGAGGAATTAGTTGGGCTTCCCTCGTGGCTCAGATGGTAAAGAATCCACCTGCAAAGTGGGAGACCTGGGCTCGATCCCTGGATTGGGACGATCCCCTGGAGGAGGGCATGGCAACCCACTTCAGTATTCCTGCCTGGAGAACCCCCATGGGCAGAGGCGTCTGATGGGCTGCAGACTATGGAGTCACAAAGGGTTGGATACCACTGAGTGAATAAACTCAGCACGTGAATGAGAGGAACTGGTGTCACTAGGGGAGGTGACCACCCCTCAGGACATCTCTGAACTGATTGCCAACATCAAAGCCATCTCAGTGAACTGGGCAGGGCCTCTGACAGGTCCATCAAAGCCATCTCCGTGGAAAGGGCAGGGCCTATGACAGTCCCACAGGTCCATAGCAGGATGGGAGGCATGTATTCTAGATGCAGAGTCTGAAAGAGAGATGAGGGCCCTGGTCTCTGTCACCAGGTGGCTGTGGGACTTTGTACCATCACTTTCTTTTTCTGTATTTCTGTTTCTTCCTCTGTAAATAAGAGCCGGGCTTGGTCAATATTTCTCCAAGCACATTCCTAAGAGCACAACATCCAGGCTGTGTTCATACATGTCCCTTAAGAGGGATTCTGTGTTCTAATGTACTCGAGGAATGCTGCTATCTGCACCCCACTGTTGGAGAGTCACCATGCATGTCGGTAGGTTCAAATCTCCAAGAGGTCTTATGTAAATAAACTTATGTATCAACTCACTCCAATATTCTTGCCTGGAAAATTCTATGGACAGGGGAGCCTGGCAGGCTACAGTCCACAGGGTTGCAAAGAGTCGGATACAACTGAGTGACTGCGCATACGCACACACACGGTACTGGTCACATGGGAAAAAAGATATGTAGAATATGGAGAGAGGACAGGAAGTCCTAAAGGGCTTGGCTGGAACATGGGCCATGTCCAGATAGGTGTAGCCGCTGGGGGACACCCAACTAGAGACGCAAAACAGGGAGGCAGGTCAAGTGGTTAGAGAATAGGCAAGGTGCTTGGAAGAAAGCTATTTGGTATTTGCATGGCTCACTCTCTTATTTGGGGCTGTTGCTCCTCAGTGCATCTGGATTTAACTACCATTTGCATATTGGTGCCTTGAATGACTGACTATCACCTTTTGATAAAGAGTATGGGCTTTGGAGTCATACCTCCCCTGCCTCAGTTTCTACTTCTGTAAAGTGGGATTAATAATAAACATTGCCTCCTAGAGTAGCTTATGAGGATTAAGTGAGCTAATATATCTAGATGTTCTTAGACTAGTATCTAGCACATAGTAAGTACTCCATAAATGGCATTGTCAGTATTAAGGATTATTATTTGTATTTTCAGCTGAGATTCCTCTCTGACTTGACAGCTCCACTCCGGTGTCTCCCAGGCATCTCAACAGCACCAAAACCCAACTTTTGACCCCAACAGTACCCCATCTTTTCCCAACCTTCTTCATCTCAGTGAAAGGCGTTTCCTCAAGTCAGGAACATGGGGGTCAGATATGCCACCTCCCTCCCCTTCCGTCTTCCTCCAGTCCACCAGGAAATTCTGCGGGGTCTGTCCCCAGAATAGATTTCAAACTCAGCTACTTCTCTCCTCCTCCCATCCCTTCTCTAGTTTGAGCAGCCTCGTCTCAAGATGAGCTAAATCATCTTCCAAGCAGCTCCCTGCTTCTCTTTCCATGAATTCTTCACGCACGGTCAGAACAACTCTAACAAACAGAAATATGACCACACTAAACTGCTAAGTGGCACATAAAATGAAGCCCTGGCTGCTCGCTGTGGCTCTGAGCTGTCTGGCCTCTGTGGTGTCTCCTCCTTCCCCAGCTGCTCCTCCAGCTGGCCCGCTGGCCTCTCTCCAGTTCCCACAACAAGGGAGTTCACTCCCACCTTAGAGCCTTTATCTGGTCACCTTTTTGGCCCAAAGGCTTTGCCTGTGGCGTTTTACCTGATGTCTCCCCCTCACCTGCGGCTCTTGGCTTCAAGTTGTCCTCCCCACATTTCCCCCCACACTCTCCTAATGGGTTATCCCAATTATTCCCAGTCACAGCCCTGTGTTCACGACCTTCACAATGCTATTCTCAACATAAAATTACTTATTTATTTATCTACTTGTTTATTGTCTGTCTGTCCCCAGAGAAAAGTCTCCAGAGCCCAGTGCTTCTCTTTTCCAAGCACTGTAAACTCAGCATACAGCCTGGCCCCCCAACCCTTGATGAATGAACAAAAGACTGTCATGGTGAGTGAATGGCTTCCTCTCTGATACGCCCTTCCTGTTACTAAAGGTGTCACCAGCTGATTAATAAGCAAAAAATAATCCAGTCCACCTTAGTCAGATAAGCTCAGAGCTAGAACAAAGGGCCCTTACACAAACCTACAGATATTCTTTTAGACATTTGAGAAATCCTCCAAGTCATGATGTGAGGGCTGACTCGAGGCAAGATCCTTAGGCATCAAGCAGGGACCCCCACTGAACCCCTAGGGGCCGGGGGACCCCACAGACTAAATGACCTTGAAAAGTGAAAGCATGACCTTGAAAAGTGAAAGCACAAGTCACTCAGTTGTGTCCGACTCTTTGTGACCCCATGGACTTTACAGTCCATGGAATTCTCCAGGCCAGAATACAGGAGTGGGTAGCTTTCCCTTCTCCAGGGAATTTTCCCAACCCTGGGATCAAACCCAAGTCTCCCACATTGTAGGCAGATTCTTTACCAGCTGAGCCACAAGGGAAGACCAAGAATACTGGTGTGGGCAGCCTGTCCCTTCTCCAAGGGATCTTCCTGACCCAGGAATTGAACTGGGGTCTCCTGCATTGCAGGCAGATTCTTTACCAACTAAACTATTAGGGAATCCCAAATGACCTTAGTGGGATGGATTTCCTCAATGTGGGATAGATGTCCTCAGTGCAGCTGGCATTTTCATCAGTCTGAAGTCTGGCCTCAAATTTTTCTGGGACATTCAGTTTCTTGACCCATATGACCATTTAATGACAAATTAATTTTTTTTAAAGCATGTTCTTTCTTTAAGAAGTACTTGTCACGATAGAATTCTATGGTTGTAGCCATTTTCTTTCCCAGCAGACCTTGTGTCAGGTCTGCTGCTGCTTCTTCCCGGGGAAGTTAACGTAAATGTTTATTGGCGGTACAGTCATGAAGAAAATTAAGTTGCTGATTCATTGCCTTACAATGAAACCCTTTGCTTTCCCCTCCTCTTCCTTCCTCTTTATAAGGAGACACTTCTGAGAAAGAGCACACTTCGAGGACCCACATCTTGGGATATTTTCTTGGTTGCCTATGTCTTCTGTCTGCAGACTGTGGAGTTCCTGTAATAGCTGGGGGATCAGCCTTTCTCTTTCCTCTGCAGTATTACCCCTTTAGGGTCTCTGAGGAACAATGGAAGTCTTAGGGTTCTTCAGGCTGGAAGTGAGTGGCCCCATGGTGACGGTGGCCCTGTCCGTGGTCCTCTTGGCCCTCCTGAAATGGTAAGTGCAGCCAGTATGTCCCAACCACGGTGACATTGTCAGAAATAGCAGTCTCGGAGCCATGCTGGAGCCAGGGTGGGGTCTGTGGGAGTGTGTTTTTCTTCCCCTCTAATCTAGAGGGAGTTGAGTATTAACACAGCTTCAGAATTAAAAGCAAACAGCCTGGTTAATCTTTTGCTCTAATACATGTGATGGAGGTGTCAGGAAAGGCTGGTGATTCAGTGACTGAGAACGCTACACATAATTAAGTTTGAAAGAGAGGGAAAAAGCAACAGATTGGCAAGGTTTGGGCAGAAGTATTTTCTTGCATCCCCATCCTATCTCTCCAGTCTGGATTTATAGAAGATTCAGCCTCTTGGTTCTGATGACTTTAAAAGCAAAAAAAAAAAAAAAAAAAAGATAAAGGAGCTGTCCGGCGTCGTGGTCTGGCAACATGCATGGGAAAGTCACTGCGAAGGGATTTCTGTAGGTTTAAAGATAAAGAGGTGGAACTAATTTCCTCGTTTTCTAATATTTGATAGAAAGGGATGAATGTAGTGTATGCAGTGCCACAAAGTCTGAGACCCGGGAGGATCTCAAATTTAAACTGGAAAGAACTCCCCGTGATCTTGTTAATTCAACAGAAGGTTTTCTGAAGTCTGACTTGATCAGAGACTGGATGTGAGGCCCCACAATATGCTTCATTTATGCATATTCACCTTGTCAGTGAAAGTTATTAAAATTACCCACTCCATCAAAAGCACCTGGATTTAGGCAGCTCTGGTTTTTGAGGGGAAAGTGGAAAAAATAATGGAGAGTTTGAGTTTGAACAGAATTTCAATTTACGTTTCTGGTAGTAATAAAGCCTCCTCTCGATTAATAACTGGGAAAGCACTTTGAAAAGCATCAAGCATTATGCAAATGTGAGGTATTATTCTTTTGGAATTTGCATAGCTGAAAATGGAATTCACGTTTGATGTTCTATGATGATGAAATTACTTCTTGGAAATTGGCTCTGAAACCCAGCTTCAGTCCCAGTGCTGTTTTGCTTTCTAACTGGTTTAATTATCTTTTGAACTTTTCTCAGTGTGGCTTATCTTGCCTTGAAACCAGCCACATGCAAACCCAGGAGCAAGTGGTACCCTCCCTCCCCCACCCTGCTCTATCCTTACATCCATCTCGGTGTGTTTCTGCTTAGAGATGGACTTAGCACAGTGCCTGATGTGTTCTGGGTGCTCAGTAGACATCAACCAGGACCATTAACTATCGTTTAATGTGACCTAAACACAGAGGGAAATAAGTCTTTTGTGCTTCAGGTATATTTAAAAGTTCTCATGAATATGCTTATTAATATTAGTTTCTCATCAATAGTGCACTGACTGTAATTCTCTGTGTGTCCTGTTTGAGGCCCCCATAGTCTCACAGCGTCCACGTTTCTATTGTATACTTCACTTCTGTTTCTGTCTTTATTGGGTCTTTTCAATTTCTGTAGTCTTAATTTCCAGCTCAGTGCCTGATATATATAGTATGGCTCCGATAAATGTCTGATGAATGGGTGAGTGAATTGCATACATTAATGTTTGTGCTTGTCCTGGAAAGGGGCATGTGTCCTGAGTGATAAGCTGCTGTAACTGGGTGTTTCTAATCAGCGTAGATCAGAGTCACAGCTAATAACACCATACCATTCAGCAAGGCAGTTGTGCATTTGTAATCTGTTCTGGGGCCATGCTAATAACCTGGGTCAAAGACACTGAGATTAGAGAGAGGCATGAAGCAGAGGTGGTGAATAGGAAGCCAAAGCTGACTTCTATTTGTTCTTGCGAAAATATTTACTGATTTGTTCAGGTGCGCCAGGCATGGCATGAGACTCTGGTACAAGGTCAGAAAACAAGAGGTCTAGATCAGATGCCCAAAGTGGGGGAGACATGAAGACTGTGGCTGAGCTGGGTGTCTGGGGAGGATGACGCTGAAGAGGAGGAGCCGCAGCCTTGAGGGGCCGTGGATGTGGTTCTTATTATCCTGGGTCTATCCGGGGATCAGCTCAAGGTCACCATCCTTGAGTTCTCAACACTCATTTTCCAGGCAAGACTCCTGAAGTGAAGTGAAGTGAAAGTCGCTTAGTCGTGTCTGACTCTTTGTGACCCCATGGACTATACAGCCCATGCAATTCTCCAGGCCAGGATACTGGAGTGGGTAGCCTTTCTCTTCTCCAGGGGATCTTCCCAACCAAGGGATCAAACCCAGATCTCCCTCATTGCAGGCGGATTCTTTACCAGCTGAGCCACAAGGGAAGCCCAAGAATACTAGAGTGGGGAGCCTATCCCTTCTCCAGCAGATCTTCCTGAGCCAGGAATCAAAATGGGGTCACCTGCATTGCAGGCCGATTCTTTACCAACTGAACTATCAGGGAATCCCCAAGACTCCTGAGCAACAGGCATCAGCTTGAATGAGGCAGGGCCTCCCTCCTGCTTCATTTTCTTGAAAAGATGCACATGGGAAAGACAAGGGCTCTCAGGGAGAGCCAGGGGTAGAGAGACCCTCAGAGCATCTGCCCCCAAGGAGGTCTTGTGCAGGGTGCAGTTTTGAAGGTTTAAACTCATTAGTCTTTCCTGTTAAGAGTTCCCGCTGCCTCTGGACCAGAAGGTGTGATAAGAGCCTCGACTCTGGGAAGGTAACACGAGGAGGACCGCTTCTTGCCTGCTCCACCAGCCTGGGGGTTCATTCAAGTTAGGGGTGAGGTCCCGTATCTCACTGCAGTTCTGGAAACTTCTGTCCATGACTTGCCTGTTCTGGTGTCTGCTTTAATGCAGACAGGTAAAGTGAAGAAGTACACATGCATCAGCTCGGCACTCGGGATGTAGGCTTTGGTTCTTGTCTCTTTCAGCAACGTCATCCCCCAGACGCTGACTCCATCCTGTGGGCTTGGCAGTTCCATGAATGGTCACATGCTCCACGCATCCAGGCCCCTGTTCTTGCTGTTCTCATGCTTGGAACCCCCTTCCTCTCCTCTTTCCTTGAAGGAGCTCGGGGGCACCTCCCCACTGAAGGTTCTGCTTGCCCACAGCACTGACCAGTCCCACTCACTGTGGCTTTCCTTGTTGTTCTCATCTCTGTCCCCCACTCCTCCACAATCCACACATGCAGCTGGTGCCTAATGAATGTTGGCTCTAACCTCCACTGGTATTTTCTTGCTGGCTCTTCCCTTAGGCGTCACAGCTCAATACAAGTATTAATTCTTCTGCCTACATGCATCATCCTTTTCCTATGGCCTTTTCAGTTTGGACCAGCTTGGGGTCCATGTTCTAATTGGACCCCAATAGGTGCGCTGTGTTTGGATCTCCACTCACCTTGCAGAGCAAGACTATGGCATGTACTTAAACATTCATTACGAAGTATATGTATGAATTTAGAAAGCAGGATAGAAAAGAATCAATTTCATTTAAAAAGAGACTAAACTAGGCATAGTATATTTTGATAGTTTTCCCTCAAGTGGTATTTGACACAATTTTTTTTGATGACAGTCACTAAAATTGATAGTTATGAGGCTGAATGGTGTGCACTGGGGTCTAAGGGGATCAGGGCGACTCCACTGGGGGTTGGAGATGGAGCTGGGTATGTAGCAAGAAGCCCACGAAGCTCGTGATCAAAACACGTGACAAAACATCTTAAAAACTCATTTTTCTGTATAAAATTGTTTGAAATCCTGACTTTTGGAAGAGATTTATGTCCAAGAAGTAAGTGGTGTGAATTGAATAGTGCTAGAGGCAATTTTAAGTACAATGTAATTAAACTTTGAAGAGCACCTATGAACTGTCAGCTTTTGGTAAGATGAGGATTTCTTTATTAAGAGAGTGTAAAGTGAAGTGAAAGTGAAAGTCACTCAATTGTATCTGACTCTTTTTGTGACCCCATGGCCTATACAGTCCGTGGAATTCTCCAGGCCAGAATAGTGGAGTAGGTAGCCTTTCCCTTCTCCAGGGGATGGATCTTCCCAACCCAGGGATCAAACCCAGGTCATGTGGGTGGATTCTTTACCAGCTGAGCCTCAGGGAAGACCAAGAATACTGGAGTGGGTAGCCTATCCCTTCTCTGGTGGATCTTCCCAACCCAGGAATTGAACCAGGGTCTCCTGCATTGAAGGCAAATTCTTTACCAACTGAGCTATCAGGGAAGCCCTAAGAAAGAATGTAAGGATTCCCTGTTTAATAATGTGCAAATTCACTTGCCCCATCCATACAGACAGAAAGTAGATTAGTGGTTGTCAGGAGCTGGAGGAGGGGAGATGGGAGTGGCCGCTGGTAGGTGTGGAGTTTCTTTTGGGGGTGATGAAAATGCTCTGAAAGTAGATAACACTAATGGTTACACAACTCAGTGAATATACTAAAACCACTGAATCACATACTTTAAAAGGATGAATTTTATGACATGTGAATTATATCACAATAAAAAATTCATCTGTACAGGGGAAAAAAAAGAAAAGCAAGAGAAAGAATGTAAGGAAATAGCCCAAATATCAATGGTGGTGGTTTAATTGCTAAGTCGTGTATGACTCTGCGATCCCATGGACTGTAGCCTGTCAGGCTCCTCTGTCCATAGGATTTTCCAGGCAGGAATACTGGAATGGGTTGCCATTTCCTTCACCAGGGGATCTTTCCCACCCAGGAATCAAACCTTCCTGCATTGCATGAAGATTCTTTACCAACTGAGCTACGAGGAATAGTGGTAGGATTGTGGGGTTTTTTCTTCCTTTCCTCTTTCTGCATCTTCCATATTTTTAAAACAAATATCAATTACTGAGCAAAACAACAACAACAAAAAAGGTTTTACTAAATAGAGTAGGGAATTCCTCCTCTGTAGCAATGAAGAGGAAAGCAGTCTTATGCTTTGAACATGGAGGTTTCAAGAAATACTCTCGCTATTCCAACAGTGGAGTAGAACATACAGGAGAATTTGGAATAATCGGAGAACTTCCTGGCTGATGAAGCAGTGAGAAAAGTAAACTGTGGTTGTTGCAATAAGTG